TCTTTTAAAAACAACCTGGAGAGTTGTAAAATTCTTTGCTCTGCTATGCTGGACTCCAGGGCCGGGAAGAACTTTATGGACACAGATTTTGCCCACAGCAATAACATTCAAACAAGAAATAAATCTGTCCCTATTGATATGGAGACATTTGATTGTACACCTTTATTGTCAAGACACGTTACCCATGAAAATGTTCCTCTGGTACTCTGATTTAAAGCTGACCATTGTCAGACTATCAGCTGATCAAAATCACCAAAATGTCCTGGCATCAGCATTCCTTGTTTTTGTTACCCATATTCCCTCCATCAAACAAGCTCTCCACTGATCAAGGAATCACAAGTTGATGTGGTACCTACCTAGTCGTATGACAACCTGCCTCTACAATACCATGAATTCCAGGGATCTCATCGCCCGTATGACTGTCCCATTAAATTGCTCCCAGGGGCATAAATACCTTTTGGTCATCTTTTCAGTCTCTCAGAACCTGAACTAAAGGTGCTCAAGGAGTGGCTTTTTGAAAATTTAGAGAGGGGCTTTATCAGACACTCGGGGCAGAGGCAGCCCTGTTCTTTGTTGAAAGAAAAAAAAAAAAAAAAAAAAAAAAAAAAAAGAAAGAAGAAGGACTCCACCTTGCGCCTGTGCAATAAATGGATTTGGATAAAATCACTATTGAAATCAATGATCCATTTCCTTTAATCTCTGAAATGTTGGAAAAGACTGTGTTCTGCCAAAACTAGACTTACGGGGGAGGGTTGGTGTTAATATAACCTTGACTGCATTTGTCAAGGAGAGGCATGGAAAACCGCATTTAGAACCAGTTATGGGAATTTATGGGAATTTCCAGTCAGTGGCTGTTCCTTCACAATTTCCTGCAACTTTTCAACATTTCACCGAATATGCGGATCAGTTGGAACAACTTGTGATGCTTGGATGAAATTCCCATCTTTTCCAATAACCTGGAGCAGAATCACAAGCATGTCTGATAGATTAAGGAAGAATCTACTTCAAATCAAACTGGGGAAATGTGAAATTAACAAAACCAGAACCAGTTTTCTTGGGATGTATTATTTTTCCAGAGAGAGTGAGCATGGATCCCAAGAGGATCAAAGAAGTTTTGGCTGTCCTGCCCTAAAAAAAACCATCAAGGAAATACAATTTGTTGGATTTGCCAAAAGTAACGTCTCTAAGGTGATGGCACCAATTACACAGCTGACAAAGAAAGGGATGACCTTTGTGTGGTCACCTGAGGCACAGACTGCATTTAGTAAGCTAAAGACTTCACTTCTGCACCAATATTGGTACTTCCTGATCCCGAATTACCTTTTTTCGGCGGAAGTGGATACATATGACTTATTCGTAAGATCCTTTAACGAAGAGGAGAAAAGATGCAGCTTCATCTTTGAGCTTATTTCTGTTTTTTAAGGTCTTCCCAATTCCCAGCTCTTTATTCCCAATTATGACATTGAGAATAAGTAGCTGCTGGCAACTAAAGAAGCCTTTTCCAAATGGAGACATCTGCTGGAAAGGGCTAATCATCCTGTAGCTGTTCACACTGATCATAAAAATTGTGAACTCATTTGTTCTGCCATTAAATTGTCTTCCAGAGAAGCACCTTGCTCTATATTCTTTTAATAAGGCCAATGCCTTTTCGAGGATGTTGTCTGAGCCTCTCCAGGAAGGCAACTCTAAATGTACAATCCTGCCTGAAAAGAACTTCCTAGGGGCCACAAGTTCTAAAACATTCTTGAGTCTTCTCAAAGAGGGGTATGAGAATGACCCACGTCTCAATCATCCTCATAAAAACATTAACCTCAAGTACAAGAACAGCTTTTTGACTTGAGCACATTGTCTCTATGTACCTGAACTGGTTCAAAAAAACACTTTTGAACCATGTAATTCTATTTTCCTAACTGCTCCACAGGGACCACAATCACATTACACCTTCCAGATAGGAGCACAAGCATATTAATCAGAGCAATAAACAGGCTGCACTAATTTCCCTTATGGCTCTCTATTAAAATGTGGAAATAATTTACTACTAATTTTATTAAAAGGACCAAAATTGGTACATAGGTTGAAAAATTCTCCTTGCCAAATCATTTTACAAAACTGATATCACTCGGAGAACACAAATTGTTCTTGTTCCATGTTATTTATCCACAAATACAGTTCCTAAGCCATGATTCTAAATAAACATTTCAAAGTATGGACAACTGCGTGCCTAAGACAACTTTCCTATATGTATATATACTGCCAAGGGATATTTGTCAGCTTATATTCCCTTAATCATTTGCACCTTAATTTTTATATATAGTATTAAAATCTGGTTGATCCTGCCATTCACTGGCACTTCCTGTTTGTCTGTGTCCCTGCTGTAGCACTGGATACTATGGATCACCCTTTGGCACCTCTCCTGCGCATGCTCCTCTTTTAGTGAACGGGCAAGCCATTCACTCTTTCAAGTCCAAGTGTAAGCACCCCACATGACTACGGAGTCATCTTTGTGAGCGTATAGAAAAGGTCACGTGACCACTAAAGCACCAGTCAGAACTGTGCAAGCACAGGAAGCTAGTCCAGACTTCCTAATATGACATACTAACATTTGGATTTCTACATGCTCCTTCTACCAATCTCTCCTCCCAGCCAGGAACAAGCAGGGAAAGATCACATGATCACAACACAATAGATCAAAAATAAGGTATCTGGCAGCTGCAGTTTTACAAATAGGAAGGATTATGTATGCACTTATTTAGAATGTTTAATGCCACTTAATACGTGTGAGTGTAGTGTCACCTTAACTGTGCCTAATCCATACTCTGAAAGTCTGACCTTTTGTCTTGAATTCTCCTGTATATTAGCATTGCACGTCCTGGTATTCAAGTGTGCTTAGGCACTCCTGTGCCCACTGTTTCATAGCAGAATATCTGCATGAGAGCTCTAAGGCACTGCTGCCTCTGTTTTAGTTGGAAGGAGATTCAGTGATGTACCCATGATACTGCTTGCTGTTCTTGCTGGAGGCTCAGACATAAGGGAAGCAAAGCCATGCCTCTACCAAGATGGCCACCTCCACAGAGACACAGTGCAGAGCAAGGTAAGTGAGTAATAGATTGTAAGCTCCAAGGAGCAGGGCCCTCCTATCCCTCTTGTATTGAACTGTATTGTTGCTGTATTGTCTCCCGTTATATTGTAAAGCGCTGAGCAAACTGTTGGCGCTATATAAATCCTGTATAATAATAAAAAATAATAATAAGGAAAGATCAGCTACAAGGAGACCACAGGCAGAACTGGATCTAGCCTCATCTGTCCGTTCCTTCTTTTTCTGCACAACTTCCAGAATTCAGTTCCTTTTTTAAACATAAGGTTCACACTATACACCAAAAGACACCTCTAATCTTGTAATATTTGCTCTAGGAAAATACGTATGTCTGACCTGCTCTACACAAGAAGACAGCTTACACTTTACCAGGAAGGATTCTAACCCATCATAAGCAACTTAAACCTACCCAACTTTATTCAAAGTCATGCACCTGGTAATAGTCCTTAGATGTGGTAGCTGCATTAGTTTTCTGTTTGTTTAGACTTTTTTCTCCTCTCTTTTTTTACCTGGTGACCCTGCCAGTAACACACTTCCTGTCCTAGGGTGACAAACGTGCTACTTATAACTATACTATAGCCATCAGGAAACAGTGATGTAAATCTAAGACAAGAAATTTGTTAAGAGTACAGTACTCAACTCCATAGCACAGGGAAAATGTTTTCTGCAGTTCACATGGAGACCTGAGCAGGGATGATGACACTGCTTGAGATTGAAGTGGAGCAGAGGTAGATCTGGGAGCATTAAGGAGGTATGTTTTTTTTCATTGTATGAGAGATGTACCAAATAATCACAGTGGTATATTTTAACAGACCAAAAGCAGAAATAAGTTTGTTGTTAGAATTTACATTAAATTTCCTTGGTGTGCTGGAAAAGAACATTTAAAGTGGAACTAAACCAAACAGTTTTTAAAGTGGTAAAAGGTTGCATTAAGTTACAAAACCTGCAGCCTTTTTTATGTGCTACTCACCCACCCCTAGTCCCCCCAAATACTTATAAGAGCCCGATTTCAATCCGGCACTCCTCCCTCTTCACTAGACTCCATGTGAGCAGTTGGAGCCACTGGCTCCTGCTGCGGTCAATAAAATCCAAGGAAGAGGGAGCAGGGGCAGAGCTGAGACGCACTGTGTGGGTCAATATACACACACAGTGTGGCTCAGGATTGAACCTGCATGTATGCCACTATAGGAAGAGTCTTCCTATGGTGGCACACAGAGAAAAGGAGGAACCTAGGGCACTAGCGCGGGGGACCCCAGAAATGAGGATTGGGGTCACTCTGTGCAAAACCATTGCACAGAGCAGGTAAGTATAGCATATTTGTTAAAGAAAAAAAAACAAAAACACACACCTCTACAATTACATGCAACATATGCCGTGGATGATACCCATCACATTTGTTTGTGCTCTCAACTAAACTGTCAAACCATCAAATGGCTGGTATCATAACTTATCACATGTCCAGCACCATGGTAACTGCAGATCAGAGTCTAAGATGGCAGCTTCCTTGTCTGTAAAGGATAAGAGGGTTTAGTTCCACTTTAACCTGGCTATAAAAGGCCAGCAAACGCTGACTCAAGTCAGATCCCTGGTCTGCCAAATGGCATTCTTACGGCAATGTGAACAAGAGGTGTACCCTAAGGTGTCATTTTAAGCAAATCAGAAGTGTTTTCTCTTTTAGAAGAATCTGGATTTCCAAGTTTGCTTATGCAGGGCATGCAGCTGGCTAATAAAACAGAGGGTTTCAAACAAGTCTGCACTACAAAAAAATAAATGTGCCAAAATAACCTTTCTATTAGTCTGATTAATAACAGCATCCCAGTGACAAAACACAAGCCTTCAAAGCTGTAAAACAAAAGCAACACAGTGTATATGAGCTGTCAGTAGAATTAGTAATTAAGCAACATACACATAACCAATCATGTCAGCGAAGGGTTGTTTGTAGAAAGCTTCATCTGCCACCCTACAGACAGCAAGAAGTCCAAAAAGAAGGCAAGCAGGCAAGAAAAGAAAGGAGAGAGCATTGAAAAGAAGACAATATAGGAGAAAGCCTTAAACTTGGCGAGAAAGAGATTAGTGAAAACAGGCGTAAAACAAGAATAATCCCAGCACAATTAGGATAAAGACACAGATAGATGTGAATGATGAAAGTAGAACTCCAGTCAAACAACAACATTAAAAAGAAAAAAATACATAAATGTGACCTGTTTTACCTTGCTACAAAATCTGTAATCCTGTTTAGCCTCAATTATGATGGGACCCATCTCAGAAAATCTGGCCATACATGGATCAAAATTCCTCCAGTTCAGCAGGAACCGTTCAAATTTCGATCAGTGCTTGGCCACTGCGTTTGAACAGATATCAGCCTACCAATCGGCTTCTGTTCAACTGCCTTGTTGGATCAAAGCTGCTTGTTCAGTGCTGCAACACGGATCTGTGTATTCTGAGGGTATTGAGTACAGGCCACTGTGAGAATACAATAGCTCAGCGGGGAGGATTCCTCATCCACCTTGATTGTGCAGATGGGGGAAATCTGTTCAGTCTTTTTTTTTTTTTTTCAAATTTGGCCTGCTAGCTAAACGAAACAAAAAAAAAAAAAAATCTGGACCATATATAGCTAACTTAAGGAGCCAGGATGTGTACATGACTATTCATTATGGTAGTTTTGCAGTCTGCTTGGCCACCTGCCAGCTAACTAGATTACAATTAAGAGGCATCACATGGCTCCTCCATAGAGTTACTCCATGCACTACCTGCCCCCCCCATAAGGCTGCCTGGACATAAACTCCAGGGATGTTAAAATTTCTATCGCCTGGGATATGTGGTTCCGGGCGTCAGGCAGGTAGCTTTTTTCTACCTTTAGCCCTGCTGTGGGCAAGCAGTAGGGCTCACCTACTTCCACACCGCCGACGGTGCCAGCCACCCCACGCGTGTGAACCTCCCTTCTGCTTGCCAAGTCTCCCGGGCTGCTTGCCCATCTGCGGGACCGGGACTGGCTCAGTGTGCACCGGCATCTAGAGGAGAGCGAACACGTACCCTCCCCTTCATGTCCTGACCTGGAAGTGACGTTTAACACCACTTTCAGGTCCCCATTCACAGATTCCCGGCCTTTGAGGCCGGAAAAGAATGTAATGCAGTGTGATGTACACTGCATTACATTCAGGGGAGCACAGGGGAAACATGCAGGGTCTTTTAGACCCTGCATGTCTCAAAGAGAACCGGTCACCAAAAAATCATCGCATAGGGGACTTTTTGAAAAAGCCCCTTATGTGATCTACAAAAAAAAAAAATCTAAGTTGCACCCAAGCACATAACACGTCCTATACGTTCACGAGCGCGTGCAAATTTAAGGTTCGACATGTTGGATATCTATTTACTCAGTGGAACCTCATCTTTTATATTTTACAAAAAATAGGGTAATTTATTGCTTTTTTTGCCCTAAAATTGATGTGGTGCATTTTTTACTGAAATTTTGCGTTTCCTAGACCTTTGTGGTAATATCATGCGACATAAAAAAATTGGAACTACCGCTATTTTATTCTCTAGTTTCTCGGATTTCAAAAAATTTATCATGTTTGGGGGTTTTGTGTAATCTTCAAGCCTAAAATGATTTTTTAAACGTGCAAAAATAATCTAAAAATGGCTCTGGCAGAAAAAAAGGATAAAGGATAAGCTGGACACTCCCCTTTCCTGACAAACACCCAATCAGTGCTCATTATACTGCAAGGTCACTCTGCTCCCTACTAGTCCCCGAGTGCGGTGCAGGAGACAGGCAGGGAGGAGAGGAGGAGATAAAATGGCGCAACGTAAAAATAAAAATTAAGCATTTAAGTCGTCATAAAGCCCCTTTTGATTTTAAAAGTCACAGACATTGCCAACAGCACCTAAGATTTAAATACGGTTTTGATTAAAATTGATTTATTTTTTTTGATCAGGACAAGTAGCTTGTCATGAGAGACAAGTAGATTGGGACACCAAATTTAGTCCCTTGACAAGTAGTTTTTTCAAAAATTTCCACACCCCTGCATCCCATTTAGCCCCCAGTGCCTGAAAACAATCACAGTAATAGCAATTGTAGTTATTGCAGGGGAGAAACAAGTATAAACTTAGATTTCAGACTGTTACATCAGTAGAACTTTAAATCATAATCAATATTTATTGAATACACAGCTTGATTAAAACTTCTTTTGTCTGGAGTTCTACTTTGACATATGGTTAAAATTTATGTGGAATGAATTGTGAAAAGAAACATCAAGTGCATGTACACAATAAAGGGAAAACATCACATTTAAATATTGCCTTAGTAAAGATTTTTTTTTTTTTTTTTAAAGAATGTTAGTACAATTAGTAATGTCCTACTCAGTACTATTGAAAATATAAATAATAAAGTCTAGTCATTTAGAAAACATATCAAAAGCCAACTCAGGTCCTTAGGGGTAGTCCATATTACAACCTATGAATACTACCATTATCAAGGCTTTGACTAAATGCTCAAAATGTCTAGAAGTGCTCACCAGCTGCTTCCAGTTGACTGGAAGATAACAAGACAAATTATAACCTTTTCATTAGTATTCAATTCAGATTCACAGTGTAATGGAACTATAGCTTGGACTGGACTACACAAAACAAGTGTGCACCATAGACTGGAATAAAAAATGGTTAAAAGGTTATAGGTAAAAGATAACAAGGTTTTAAAATAGAACTAAAGTCCAATTTAAAAAAAGCACAATTTGACTTTGTGAAGACATTTTACAGCAGGCTTCAATAACACGCCTTTTTTTGCCTCTCTGGATCAGCTGTGGGTATAAGATTGTGCATATGGGAGTTTTCAATATCTTTTTCTTATTGGTTGAACTAGATGGACTAGTGTGTTTTTTTCAACCCTACTATGTAACAATTGAGATTCTATCAAAACAATGATTACCGATTATTTGCTTTCGTCTTCTGTAATAACTCATCTTGTCTTGTGTACCACTCTTCTAGCTCCTTAGTAGCTTTCTCCTTCCACTCTCCTTCTTGCTTTCGAGAGTTGGCATCTGGACCACAGAAAACAAGATTTCATGTTTATATTAGGGACAAATAAAACGGTAAATTAAAAAATCGTTAAGGTGGGTGCATAGCAATTGGTTTTATCATTATCAAGCTTTTCAGAACACCCAGGGCTGGTTGACACCAGATCGCAGTGCAGGAATGGAACGTTCTGTGGGCATTTCCTGACCTGTGCCAGAACGCACTTGCCCTTGCGATCTGCTGTGGGTGCCAATGTATTGTTAACAGCACCCAAAAGCAAATCACAAATGCAGCATGTTTGGGCACACCAAATCACTTAGTAGCGCAATACTAACTTGGTGCAGAGCATTTTTGAAAAAGTAGAGCATGCATTTCTTTTTCTGCGTACTGGTCACATTTACAAAAACCACACCGCATGGGAATGGTAAAATAACTTGTGCTGTGTTCCTGTGAGAATTGACCCTTCGGAAGAGGTCCCCCCACAGACCACAGCTCAACTCTGCCACCATTAGAATCACACCACAAATGGTTTGATCCAATGTCAAATGGGGTCACCACTCTACCCCAGAATTCCAAGGCTAGACCATAAACGCATTAAAAGGATATCTGAAATAAAAGAACTGTAGAAGTACGGTCAGTCTGAGGCTTTTCTTGAACTCCCATAGCTCTACCAAGACCCATGGCAGGGTTGCCAACTTACCTTGCATCATTGTTCTAAAAATGGATATGCAGCCCAAAAGACAGAGAAACACATTTTATTAATTTTCACTGTCTGCCTCCGCAGTTGACAGCTTCTAGTTCTCAATGAGCTGCAAGGGTGCTGGCAAGTGCTCTTGTAGTTCATGGAGCTTCCTACTCTTCATTAACTGTATGCCCATACAGGAGGTACAACTATACTAAGTGTCTGCAGGAGCCTGACATTGCACCTGGAATCAGTAGACCGTGGGTGCAATGTTTTCCAGGCTTCTGCAGGAAAAAATGATGAATGCACAATTTTTCTACAGAAATATGTGCATTTATAAATTTTTTTTCCTGAAAGCTCAACCTATCCTTTAACCGGTTCCCGTCCGCCCTATAGCAAAAATACTGCTACAGGGCGGCACGTGTACGCAAAATCACGTATATATACATGATTTTGCAATTCTGGGGAGGGGGCACACACGAGCCCTACCTGCCTCGCCATTCGCAGCCATGGCTGTCAATCACTGGGTCCCGTACAGTAATTGCTCCCCAGCGCCTGGTGATTTCCGAAGATCTCCGACTGGGAGGAGGACTGTTTTGTTTACTAACAGTTCTCCCTGTCAGCTCGGGCACCCTGCTTTGGATGGCAGTGCACAGCACAGCCATCCAGAGCAGTGTGATTACAGTAAGCACACTGACACCGACCCTAGTAAAACACTCCCTGCACACAGTTAATCCTTCGATCGCCCCTCAGGTTAACCCCTTCCTGCCCAGTGTCATTAATACAGTGTCAGTGCTTTTTTTTTTTTTTTTAGCACTGATCACTGTACTGGTGTCACTGGGGATGTCAGTGACACCAAGTCAGTTCCCCCCAGTGTCAGAATGTCCGCCGCAGTCCCGCTATAAGTTACTGATCGCCACCATTACTAGTAAAGATGAAAAAAAAGAAAAAAACCCCAGTATATATACTGCCATTTGTAAAATGCTATAACTTTCACGTAAACCAATTAATTTACACGGATTGGGATTTTTTTTTTTTTTTTTTAAGCAAAGACATGCAGCAGAATACATTTTGGTTTAAATGTATGATGAAACTTGATTTTTTCATTTTTTTTTTTTACTGGACATGTCAAAAATATAGTTTTTTTCCTAAAAATGTCGGTGTTTTCTTTTTTTTTATAGTGCAAAAAAAAAAAAAAAAAAAAATGCACAGGCAATCAAATACCACCAAAAGAAAGCTCAATTCGTGGAAAAAAAAACAAAACAAATTTCACTTGGGTGCAGCATTGCATGACCACGCAATTGTCAGTTAAAGTAACGCAGCGCCGTAACGCAAAAAATGGCCTGGTCAGGAAGGGGGGTAAATTCTCTGTAGGACAAGTGGTTAAGTTAAAAGTAAACAAAATGATTTCACAGAGGTTACTGACATAGTTTTACCTGTCCATGGTGCAGTGCTTCCTTCTGAAGTACAATGAGAAAAGAAGAGCTAATATTTTAGCCTAAAAGACTATAAATAATATGCTCACCAAGTACTTCTAAACGGCTCCTCTGCTCTTCTCTCCACTTCCGGAGGCTTTCTGGTTCTGCTTGCAAACGGTCAGCTTGGGAAATGGCGGCATAACTATCTGTTGGCCCATTACTTTCCTGCTCCAGACAAAACAAAAAAAAACTACAGCATTAATATTGTGCGGTTTCCAATCACAAATCAGAATTTCATAAGTAACGTCTACAATCACTTCCAATGCTTTAGGCATTAAAGTAAATTTTCATAGTTGAAATCCGTATCTGCTCACTATTTTAATGTGCCATTTGTAGTTCTGTACAGTTAGTGATTTACACACAGGTGATGCAAGCAATTCATTCCTGCACAAGCAATTCATCTTCCTGGTTCAGTAAAGCTTCCCATATCCCTTTTTTCTCCTGTATTATTTTTGAACAGTGAATCTGCATCATCGCTTTCACAGCACTAAATTCTGGTTTAAAAAAAAAATTATTTTCAAGTTTATATTCTTAACTCAAAAAAAGTACCTTCTAATGTGCTCAACCTTTACCAATTTTTTTTTTTTTTTTTTAATGCTGCTGCGATCTGGCTACTTTCACTCCCCATGGACCAACTGTATGTGGAAACGTAGCCATGCTCTCTTGCTTGCTTCCGAAATGAACTAGGGACTACAGGATGCGTATTGTGCATAGAGCATTGCATATGACCACAACTAACGTGCACTGTTCATGCCACACAAAACGGAAGAGAGGGGGGAAAAGGTTAAGGAGCTCACATGGAGACCTTGCAAGGAGGCAGAGAAACAGTAAGAAACACTTTTATGCAAAAAAGTGATTACAGGGCTATTAAGTAGTGGATGTGTATTTCTGGAGAATGAGGATATTGTTTAGTGTCACTTTAACACCTTCCCGCCCGGCCTATAGCAGATTGACAGCCGGGCAGGACACTCCTCGTTGTGATTGGGCATCATATGACGTCCTGTCAAAACGAGCCACGTAGCGACGCGACCTGTCACCAGCTGTGTCCCCGGGACACAGCTGATGACATATCACTACACCAGCCCGTTGCCAGTGTCATGTGACCAATCCCAGCAGATCACAAGTCAATTGTATACAATGGATGGCTTCCTGTCATGCCATCCATTGTATACAATTATGTTGTTAGCTTTGACTGGTCAAGGCAGTCACATGATACAGACAGGACCAATCACAGCCCATCTGTATCATGTGATCAGCTTTGCACAATCACAACAAAAGACTGAATGAATCAGTTTCATTCAGTAACAATGATTGCAAATATCAATGAAATACATTGGTATTAGCAATCATAATGTGTTAAAAAAAAAAAAAAAATCCTGATCACTTGCCCAGAGTAGTTTAATGTTACTATGGTAAAATTGTATTGCTTTGGTCACAGTGTGCTGAAAAATAAAATCGTAAAAAAAAGAAAAATGTAATACAAAATACAAAAAATAGAAACATTTGAAAAAAAATAAATTAAATTATTATTATTTTCACAAAAGAAATGCAGCAGAATACATTTTGACCTAAATGTATGAAGAAATGTTATTTATTTGCAAAATTCTATAACAGAAAGGAAGAAAAGTGCTTTCTTTGTTTTAAAGTTTCAGGCGTTTTTGTTTTATTTAGCAAATAAAAAAACTCAGAGGTGATTAAATACCACCAAAAGAAAGCTTATTTGTGTGAAAAAAAAATATAAAAATTTCATATGGGTACAGTGTTGCATGACCGCGCATTTGTCATTCACAGTGTGACAGCGCAGAAAGCTGAAAATTGGCCTGGGCAGGAATGGGGTAAAAGTGCCCGGTATTGAAGTGGTTAAGAAGCAATAAATCTGACCTAGGAAGCAGGATGTAGCAGAGTCATCTTACTGACTGCAAATTCTTTGTCAGGTAAAACTGAGCATATTGACTTCAAACTCAGCAGTTCTGCTTATTGTATACAAAAGAAGGCACAATTTCAACATAAAATACTGTAGATGTAAAAGACTGGGAAAATGGTGTAAAACGGGTTCCTCTGCATGCACCAGTGGCAAACTAAGGCACCAATTAAGGTCGCCCAGTTAGTGCATGTAGCACTTCATCCCATCTTTCTAGATGATGTTGTTTCCAAGATATCTGGCATCACCTCCCCTTTCCAAACTGCTGTCCGACTACAAATATAGGAAGGAGATGAATTGGAGGTGGTTGACAGTGCTTGAACTGGGAGACAGGTATGTCCCGGAGACAAGCCCATTCACTAGGGGAGTTGAGCATTTCAGCTCCCTGTTTCACCCCTTTTGTCTTTTCAGGCAATGATAAGCCTAGTTGAACCCAGCTTCACTGGTTTCTAGAACACAGGCAGCCGGGCCACACAGTGTTGTTGGTTGCAAGGATGCAGGGTTGCAGTGTTTTCACATGCTAGGATGCAGGCAGCTGGGCCACACAACATCATGTATTTCAATAGTGCAACCAACCTGGCCATCATAGCAACCATTAACACTGTGCAGCCTGGTTGCCTACATCCTAAAATTCAATGAAGCTGGATCACTGTGTGGCTGCTTGAAAAGACTGAGTGGGTAGAATAAGGGAACTGACAGTGCTCCTGATGTGTCTCATTGAACATGGTGATGGATCTGTCCAAAGTTCAACATTAGTAATGCCCACAAATGTGGCTTCTATCTGGGGAGGAGCAAAGAAGCTGAAAAACAAGGAATACAAAAAGGATGTTCCCTCACATTTCAAGAGTGGTTCACTGGAGAGGCAAATACAGGTATTTAGACACAAATTTATAGGCCTGCATTTAATATTTATGAGAATTATTAAGAGCTTTCTAATTAAAGCAGAACAAGCCTAGTCTAAGTTTTTGTGCTTATTCCACTCACTCAGTGAAGAATCAGGTGGGCAGCACAGTGGCTTAATGATTAGCACTTCTGCCTGGCAGTACTAGGGTCGTTGGTTAGAATCCCAACCATAGCACAACCTTGCCTGGAGTTTGCATGTTCTCCGAGGCCTGAGGAAGTCACATGGTACTGTGACGCAACGCGTCGGCCCAACATAGTGACGCACTTCCGGCGTGGCGGCCATCTTGGTACACCCATTTACTCTGTACACCCATGCAGATGACATCCAAAGGCATGTGGCTGGAGCCCTGATTTTTACTATGTTCATGTAAGTGCGCATTCTATCTACATTTTACTTGGCAATAAACATATTACACAATGGAAGCTTGTGTTTTATGTTTCATGTGAGTGGTTAGCGCAGCATGTGAACCTGCTTGGAGAAGGAGCCAGTGTTGGAGTTCTGATCCCTAGAGGGAGATCTATATACAGTGGGAGCTGTCGTTTGGAGTGATACTGACCTGGAGGATCTGTGAGAGGGATCCTATTAAAACGCTTTGACTCGCAAGGGTCGAGTCTATAAGGTGAGAGGCTAATTCAGCCGGTGGTCGGATGATCCTCTGTGCAGCTATCAATCCACTTTTACACACGCATATCAGCACGAGTTGTTTTGTTCACCTGAGTGTGATCATTTTAGGTTGGACTTTAAACGCATGAAAATAAACTTTTGTGTGTGTGCTATTGCACGGATTGGAGTTCACATTTGCATGATTTTGTTTTGTTTTATTCACTATATGGGGTTTGTTTAGATATATATACGTTAGTGCACTATTTTTTTATTTATATAGATGTATGTGTGTACACTTGTAGAAACACACATTGTTTAATAATTTAACAGTCAAAAGGACCGGTTTTTCACCATCACTGTAGGAGGTTTTTGTTGTTTGTGTTTTTTAAGTATAAGCATAAGTTTATTTGTAGGGGACACATTTATTCACTTATAGTTGAGGGGGTTTATTTGCTCATTAGTGTATTTAAATTTAAGCGAGTAGCGCTACATTTCTCACAAATTAAATTGCATGTTCTCCTTGTGCCTTTGTGGGTTTCCTCCGGGTACTCCGGTTTCCTCCCACACTCAAAAGACATTCTGGTAGGCTAACTGGATCCTGTCTAAATTGGCCCTAGTATGTCTATGCATGAATGTGAGTTAGGGACCTTAGATTGTACACTCCTTGAGGGTTAGGGACTGATGTGAATGTTATATATATATATATATATATATATATATATATATATATATATATATATATATATACACACATATATATATATATATATACACACATATATATACATATATATATACACACATATATATACATATATATATACACACATATATATACATATATATATATATATACACCTACACACATCACACACACACACACACACACACGATTTAAAAACAAAACGCATCTTTAAATGGAATTTGTGGATAGTGTCCAAGGCTGGATTCACACCATTTCCACTGCATTTAATATGCGTTGACATTCACCAAATACACTTGAGTTGACATGTGCCACTGTTTTTTTAACACGTATTAATACATTTGTTTTTTTTTCCTTAACACATGCTGTAATGCATTGTAATGCACTGCAGTTCATTGTGCCACATTTAAAAGCAGCATGCTCCGTTTTCACCCAGTGCACACTAATGCAACACATTGGTGTGAACTGGGCCTGGCCAAAACGATGCATTCTGGTTTGTTATTTCATTTGGTCTGTGTTGAGCAAAGCAGCCCAATGCATATGGTGTGAATGAGCCCTTACAAAAAAAACAAAAAACAAATGGTTTCTCATAGTAAAGTTCAAAAGATGAGTCATGAGAAAATATTACAAAATTATCTGAAAATGGGCAGGCAAAGGGAACATCCATTAGCAGTCTAATATGTTGTCTTCATTCTCTCACCGAAATACTGCAGCTGCCACAGGCAAACAGTCCTCAGCATAAATGTGTACATCCCATTAGAAAAGTAAGATTTTATTCAATACCTCAATGAACACAAGAACAATTTTCAAAATTTTGACAAAACTGAGTTTTATAGAACATTTGTTTAACTCATTACATGAAAGTAACGTTAATACAAACTTAGATTACAAAATCTTCAGTGTTACTCAAATTATTTGATGCAAAAATTAATACACCCCAAAACAAAAACTACTACATCTAGTATTTTGTATGACCTTGATGATTTGTAAGGACAGCCCCAAGTCTTCTAGGCATGGAATGAACAAGTTGGAGACATATTGCAACATCTATCCTTTTCCATTCTTCAAAAACAACCTCTTTTAGAGCCTGGATGCTGGATGAAGAGTGATGCTCAACTTGTCTCTTCAGAATTCCCAATAGGCGTTCGATTGGGTTCAGATCAGGAGACATACTTGGCCACTGAATCACTTTCACCTTGTTCTTCAGAAATGCAACAGTGGCCTTAGATGTGTGTTTTGGATCATTGTCCTTTTGGAAAAGTGCATGACAACCAAGGGCACTGAGTGATGGTAGCATCTTCCCTTTCAATATAGAGCAGTACATCTGTGAATTCATGATACCATCAGTGAAATGCAGCTCCCTGACACCAGCAGCACTCATGCAGCCCCACAGAGGGAAACTGCCACCACCATGTTTCACTGTAGGCACCATGCATTTTTCTTTGTACGCCTCACCTTTGCAACGCCACACAGTTTTGAAGCCATCAGTTCCAAAAACATTTATCTTGGTCTCATCACTCCAGAGTACAGAGTTCCAGTAGTCTTCTTTTTCAGCATGGGCCCTGGCAAAATCCTAGGCAGGCTTTTTTGTGTATTGGCTTTAGGAGAGGGTTCCTTCGTGGATGACACCCATGCATGCCATTCCTCTGCAGTGTATGCCGTATTGTGTCATGGGAAACAGTCGCCCCAGTTTGGCTTTCTACTTCTTTTGTTTGTGAGTTTTATTCTTATAATACCTCCCCATCATTAAAGTTTTTTTATGGTTTTACACTATGGGATGTTTGCTTTTGTTTCTGTTCACATGCTGAAACTTGGTTTACTGAGAGAGGAGAGGAGAAAGTTTAAAAAGGCTCTTTTGAAACTACACACTGTCATTTATATGGGCACTGGTCATCAACCTATTGGTTACTATCAGCCAGATCGCATGATTCCCAGGAATGAATATTGGTGCCATTCTTGCCATCACGCATTGGGCTAGTCCCAAACCAGGTGCTTAAGACCAACCTAGAGATAGGTGGTCCAGGGCTAACGGTGAGTGCACACGTGGAGCACCGATTGAGCATAGAGGAGTACCTGTCATTTTTGCACAAATTCACCAATTAATATTCAACACCTGGGCACTTTATTTTTCCAAATTGGGACTGAATGTTACAATTATTCACTTTGTATATGTGAAGCAAGATTACCTAAGTATTGCTAAATTTAATGCATTTAATTTATGCACGGTCCACATGGTATTGTTTGTTTTTGTGTTATTGGTTCACAAATTAGGACTGCAGCGTATACTTATCAAAGTTGCATGAATATCTATTCCTAAGCACAACAGCACTATATTTTAATTAATCTTCGTGTAGCCTTCACCTTTCTTGTGTAAAGAAATCATTTTCTTTCTCAGGCATTGTGACATTTCTCTTCCATGTGGGGCCATTGCTGACAGCATGAAATGGGAAGGGGTTTTCTAAGTTAAGCAACCCCCTTTTATAATTGTCTGCTGGACACCTGTTTAATGAATAATTAGACCCACATGTAGTTGAAATCTTCTTAATTAGGATTTTGTGGTCTAAAATTTAGCTTTGCTCTTAAGACTTTAATTGGGGTGTATTCCTGACCAATGACACCACAAAACAACTCATCCACGCCTTGGTTATATCCCGCCTCGATTACTGCAAACTCCCTCCTCACTGGTCTACCGTTACACAGGCTATCCCCCCTTCAGTCTATTATGAATGCAGCTGCTAGGCTCATACACCTTACCAACCGATCAGCGACTGCTGCCCCTCTCTGCCAATCCCTCCACTGGCTTCCACTAACCCAACATATAAAATTCAAAATACTAACCACAGCTTACAAAGCCATCCACAACACTGCCTCTAGCTACATCGCCAACCTCATCCACAGATATCGGCCAAAACGCCCAGTCCGCTCCTCCCATGATATCCTCCTCCCACGCTTGCCTCCAGGACTTCTCCAGAGCCTTTGCCATCCTCTGGAACTCCCTACCACAGCATGTCCCGTTAGCCCCCACCCTATCTGCCTTTAGGCGATCTTTGAAAACTCACTTCTTCAGGGAAGCCTACCCCACCTCCACCTAAGAACTGTACTTGAATCACCTCCGCCAGATCATCACCCGCAGCTATCATCTTTTGTATCACCTCCCACTTCCTTTAGATTGTAAGCTCCACGAGCAGGGCCCTCCTATTCCTTCTGTACTGAAATGTATTGTAATTGTACTGTCTCCCTTATATTGTAAAGCGCTGCGCAAAACTGTTGGCACTATATAAATCCTGTATAATAATAATAATTCATTTTTGCAACATGGTCTTGAATGAATTTGTTAGAAAAAATACTTTGTGTGTGCAAATTAACAAATCTTGTTTGCAATCAATGGCCCGCATTAGTGGGAGTATTTTGTAGTAGAGTGTTCCATAGAAAATGTTGATTCTGAAAGGAAAGGTTTTCTGAAAAATCTGTTGGGGTGTACTCATTTATGTTGAGCACTGTATACTACGCTTACTACTCCGCTAGTATGAATTGTTATTTTTTTCTAGCTTTATAGCCGAGTGGTCTCCTTAAGCAGGCTAACACGTTCTATTTTAAACTACAGTAACAAGCTGTCTGCACCAGGAGAAATACATGTAATCTCCTTATCTCACTGGATGCTCATTGTACTAAAGAGATCAGAAGAACGCATCCCTTTGCATCCCCCAGACCAGAGATCTTTGTTCACATAATATCTGATTGCATTTATCAAGAGGACATAAACAGTACAAAGATGTACACATACTTCAGTGAGATTACAAGGTTAAGGGCACTGTAGATAAAGCTGACAAATTAATGCTTATGATAGGTCACCAACTATAAAGAATAGAACAGAAACCGATTTTACCTGATAAAATTCACCATTCATAACACCATCTGCAAAACAACAAAACAAGAGGATTTAGACGATAATACACAGACATATGTTGACCAAAAAAAATAAAGAATTACATTTATTTCATTCACTGAAATGCATTGGGTTGCCATTCACAGCATGGGCAAGCCATATTAAACTAGATCACAAAAAGTTTTGTTTGACATGGGCTTTAAAATATATTACATTTCAAGAATACTGATAAACACTATCTGCTTGATTTACTAAAACTGGAGAGTGCAAAATCTGGTGCATAGAAACCTCAGCTTCCAGGTTTTTTTGTCAAAGTTTAATTGAAGAAGCTAAATTTAGAAGTTGATTGGCTACCATGCACAGCTGCACCGGATTCTGAGTATACCAGTTTTAGTAAATCAACCCCTATGTGCATTTAAATTGACTACAAAATAGATATGCATGATGTGAACAATTCCACGATTTCTTTTTTGTCCAATTTTTATTTGCTCTATGCTTTATTTTCAGAGTACTGTACATTAAGACTGCATACATTTAATTAAAAACTGGAAATATGGTGGTGTAAAACATTTGACCGGAGGGTATAAAAATTTATATTTGAAAACATATGAGCAGTGGATATAAATTTATGGCCTCAATGCCAGACAACATTTGGCTTTTTGCATCTTTGTTATGATGTGATGAGCAAATGGAGTGGCACACCATGACCCACACTTCCTTGCTCCATGAGCAAGGACATCTTAAGCCATAAACTACAAGCTCTGTACTACAAGTAATACATTAAGTCCCGATCAGAAATGTCTCTTAAAATAAGAACCCTGAATATTAAGAAATGTTCGAAATTCTAATATCTCATCCCTTCAGTTTGCTTGGTGCAATAATATTTTGTGTACTTTTGACCCTCTTAAAAAAAAAAAAAAAAAAATGTTAGGTTTAGTGGGAAAAGCTTTTCAAAAACAGGGTCTTGAAGTAAAACAGGTCAGTATTTATTCATAATTCAATTAAACAGCCCAATGTTGGCAATTAAACTTCATGATAAAGGTGGCGGAAAAATTCTCAAGAGGGGTATATGATCTTCTCTTACCCAGAGTTCACATGTGCGGCCGTGATTTGCACAGGCACGAGAGCCCATTCATTTGAATGGACTTTCAAGCCCCGGGACATGCAGGGAAGAAGTCCCTGCACTACTTGGGAAACTGAAGCCCGCACAAGGTTCCCAGTACAGCTGCAATTTCCAGTGCAAGCAGCGTGCACATTCCTCTGTGCGGGTGGTGCAGCTGCAGGTATTTGTGCGGGTCCTGCAGCGGTACCACCAGCACAGACGTGAACCAAGTGTTAAACCTTTTCCCTGGAATTTATTAAAGGGGAACTTTAGTCAGAAAATGAAGCCCGCACAAGGTTCCCAGTACAGCTGCAATTTCCAGTGCAAGCAGCGTGCACATTCCTCTGTGCGGGTGGTGCAGCTGCAGGTATTTGTGCGGGTCCTGCAGCGGTACCACCAGCACAGACGTGAACCAAGTGTTAAACCTTTTCCCTGGAATTTATTAAAGGGGAACTTTAGTCAGAAAATGAAGTCCTGCTAGACCACTTCAGGCTGGCCCGTTTTGCAGGTATGACCATGTAAAACATTAAAAATAAGTGCCTATATTGTTTAAAATCCAGTAATGTGCTGTCTCTCCCTGCTCCACAGATGCTCAGTGGCTCTCTATTTTTAGTGCAGAAAATGTAGAGGCCAATCTGCTGACAGCCTAAAGATTTACTGCTGCTCAGGGGTTCTGGGCTTCAGCAAAAATGGCAGCCTCCAGCAAGAAGAAACAGGAACAATCCTGGATGCAATTTACAGCACACACTAATTTTGGGAATAGAATTACTAAAATTAATAATGTTGCTAAAGAACATTATTTTTATCAAGTTATGGGGAAAGTTTTGCTTTAATCAGGACTTGGCCTTGATCAATATAACCTTGCTTCTTGATGCAATTCCTTCTGAGCCTTTCAAATTGGCTATGAGTAATCTTTTCTAGCTTGGGTGACAACTATTTTGATGAAGGTAAGAGTTAACATTATAGGTTAAGGAGACAGTGGGTTAACTTCAATATCACAGGATAAAGTTCCAGAAAAAGCAACAAGTCAGAATTCACTACATATGTGAATGGTATACTGTTTACGGTCATGGGAATAACTGACAAAGGGAGTAACAGATTCCATAGGGTCATCACAGATAATTATGGTCTAGTCCGGGTGTCGGCAACCCGCGGCTCCAGAGCCGCATGCGGCTCTTTTTCATCTTTGCTGCGGCTCCGGAGCACACTGCCCACCAGGTGACAGGCAATAGGGTTTCAGTGGTCGGCAAGCCGCGGATCGCAAGCCACATGCGGCTCTTCTGTGTGCCGGGCGCCCGCTCCCCTCCCTCCTCTCGGGCGGCCGCCTCAAAAGTCAGGACTCTTTTAATCCGGCCCGCGGAGCATGGAACATTGGCTGTCAGGATGTAGGCGGGGCAGCCAGGATGTAGGCGGGGCAGCGTGATGAACTCCTCTCCTCTCACAGTCCGCCCTGAAGACCGGAACACAGCGCGGGAACACAGCAAGAGGAACGCGCGGAGCAAAGGTAAGTGAATTGAGACCATATGGGGAATTAATTACTACATGGGGGATGAATTACTATATGGGGGATGAATTACTATATGGGGGATGGATTACTACTATATGGGGGAATTACTATATGGGGGATGAAGCTAACTGCACGATCCTGTATATAGCATTAAGGCAAGAAACAATATATGCAGTGTCGGATTTGTTTTAAATGTTGCAATGGTTTTGCGGCTCCCAGTCTTTTTTTTCCCTTCGGAAACGGGTCCAAGTGGCTCTTTATGTCTTAAAAGTTGCAGACCCCTGGTCTAGTCAATGTAATGATCATAAAAACACTAGATGTTTCATGAAGGGGTTTATTGGCCCAGTTGGTATATTTTGCTTCCACTCGCTTTTGCAAATAAAAGAATTCATAAATTGTAAATAAATTATTGGGAAAGGGGGGGGGGGGGGGGGTATAGCCATGGGTAAAAAGAAATCCTCAACAGCTGCAAGACCTACTTTGTGTGGTGTAGATGTGTACAAACACCACATGTCAAATGCGAGCCAAAAGAAGGTTGATTGCCATTTATAGCACAACAAGCTAACAATTATGTGAAGTCCTCAATTTATGCCGTAATGATGTAACTAGAGGCTGCAGAATTAAAAAAAATCTATATACTGAGAAATAATACTTTTGAGACGGTCTATATTTACTATATTAGGGAGTACAGGTGAGATCTTGTGTAATTTGGTATATGATAAAAAGAGTATTACAGAAATAGTCTCTAGCCAAAAAGGATTTCAGTTTTATTAATAACCCCCGGGTAAAATGCGTCCTCCATTATGCTGGGTAATATCAGTTTAAACAGGGGAAGGGGATTGCAATGGAGTGCTTGATATGTCCATAAGTTAATTTTCCTTATTTTGTAATACCAACCCTCCCTCCTTATCAGCCATCTGAAAAACTAGATCTTTATTATTCTTACCCTGCATTAGGGTAAAAAAAAAAAAAAAAAAAAAAAAAAAAAAAGGGTAGGTATTAGTGTGATGATCGTGACGTCAGACCCCCAGCCCTTCTCACCAAACTCGTAATCGAAGGACTAGCCAATCTGAAACCGCAATGTCACGTGCGTAACAATGCCATGCCCAGTTGCATCCTGCACACCGATTTTCCAGCTAATGGACCCCAACCTGTGTACTTGCAGCCTGAGCGTGATTGTTACTGGGTCAGGTTAATTACGTAATTAACCCTTCACACTGCCATCACCTCCTTTTTGTACAGAGAAAGAAGAAACTTGGCAATATCAGCAATAAACACTATGATGGTTAGATAATCGTCTGTATACCACTGTCACTGCAGGCAGGTTATACAGAGGGTTAAACACACAGTAGCGTTCCTCAGCAGCATGAATTCGTAGTTTGCATTAAAGGCGTTAGAAACAGTTCAACACTTTCAGAAAGTAAGATTTATCACTAAAAGTTCAAAAGGGTGCGATAAAAATACTTACAGAAAAAAAAAAAAATTATTTATTTATTATATATATATATATATATATATATATATATATATATATATATATATATATATATATATAAAAATATACAGAGAACAATAGCACAGCAAAGAGATAACAGAGAGGAATTTAGAGGGTTAAAGTACTTGCCAGAGCCTTGGTGTGAGCAGTTTCAAGTCTTATGAGCTCAAAAAGGATTTCTTGTCTCGCACTGTCAGCTCCGATATTAAACGGGAGACTCTTCTTTCTCTCACCCACACTCCAAGCATAACAGCCCTTTTCTAGGATCTCAGCAGGTGACTCCTTACAACAGAGAACCAATGGTCTCCTTTTGGGGAGGGAGGTGTAGCTGGAGACCCAAGCTAGAACAAAAATCCCTCATAACTTATTTTAGGATTCATAACTTATTCTAGGGGCATTTGCCGGCCTAGTCACTAGTATATTAATACTCAGCCGCATTTGCGGAATGGTTAGAGATGAAACATGTTATATACACTTGAATGGTTCAGGAGATATACGTTCCTGCCCTCCTATATATTCCAGCTAGGGAATATAATATATCAAACGGTTTTGTATTAACTTAACCAATCTGATGATATGCCTGGTTTTTATGCAAGTCTCTCATATATCAAGATATGAAATCATAGGGGGAAAATGGATTTTTACTGTGGTGCCTAGTTTATTACTTCTCTGGAATGTCTTTGAACTCAGTGAAGGGCTTGGTTTATGCTTTTACGATGTCCCAGATTGCACAGGTACCAGACAGGGGGGCACCTAGCTGGTGAGGTTTTATAGCCAAGACGCCCTCCCACTGGGTTTCGATGTCTTTTTGAACTCCGCATCAAACAGACCACATGTCACTCAACAGAGAGGGAGGGGGGATGATTGGAGGAAAGAGGGAGAGAGAGAGATTTGATTGTACAAGATGGACGGTCCTTTGCCAAAATGGAGGTT